TCTGGCTCTGAGAGTGACATACACGAGCGTCAATTTTGACATAAATTTGAGTCATAACAGACGCGAAATATAGCTTAATAAAGTGTGGAGCAACGAACTTTTCAGTCTCGGAGCACTTAATATTACATGACATGTTTGTTTACGTCTCATTTTTTATGTCGAAGACGGATTTCTTCTTCTTTACTTATATTTAACGCCGGTCTCTGTTCCGCCGTTCTAGTGCCAATCACCGACGGACATCGATTGCCATCCATTGACGGCAATCGAATGTGCAGGAAGGCAGCTTCCACACCTGCGTAGGATATCGCACCCATTCAACCACACATGGGCCGGGGCCAACGGCTTTACTTCCCTTCCGAAGGAAGACGTGACCAGAGATTTGTATGCCTCAGAAAAATCCCACCGACCTCGGCTGGGATTGAACCCAGACCCATCGGGGTGTTAGACAGCAGTCACGTTTACCACTACACCACCAGCACCGGCTAAGCGACGGATTCCGTCACGTGTAAAATTAGTTATTTCTAAGTGTGCAGTAGTTTTTGAATTAACTGAAAACTCCGTAAAATACAGAATCGCTGAAATGTCAAAAATTACCGTTAAAGTTAGAAAAATAATTGCTACCTTTTTCAGTAGTTTATTTGATTACATTTTTTGTCGAATAAGTCAGTATTTATTAAAAAAAAATGATTTACTGCTATTTTAATCATTATATTTTTGGATTCATTTTTAATGTTTTTTATTCGGGAACTGAGGTTAAAATGTCTAGTGGCGGAGTAGCATTGATTCTATTTTAATCAATCCTGAACTAGTCCAGGTTGAGCGATAAATGCTTCCTGGTGATTCGGCCGGTTGGTGGACAGCGTATCTATGTCTGGATCAACAACAGGCAATTTCAGTGAATGTATTTACTTCAGAATCAGTGAACCATCTCGAAGTCAATACAGGAGTGCATAAACTGCCCAATTCCGTGGCAGCCTCTGCACTCATGCGTTGGCTTTCAAATATTCATATTAAATCCACTCGGTCGTCGTCCTGATGTCGGCATCTTCCGTTGCTCTGGTTGCGGACCATAGCAGTAAAGGTGAGTTGGAGCGAAGACAACAAATCAAGAAGACTAGCAACTCTTCCATTTTCTCATACGAACGCTATGAGACAGGTAAAATCGCGTCATCTGCCGCTCAAAGGTAAATGCTTCTAACGAATTTTATAGCAAAGATTACATCCAGAAAGGTTTGTGTATTTGCTCATTTTTATATGCGTTGCTTCCACCTTCACTCAAGCGCAGCGCTATTGTATCTGTCGCTTGGATTCTGGCAAAGTTGCCAGCCTTCTTGAAAAGATATCTTCGGTTGGAGGCTCCGGCGAAATTATCTGTTTCGGATACCAAAAATTGTTTGTGTCGACAATCAAATTTTCGGCGAAATAATGCAGTGATGCCAGTTATTTTAGAGATCACAAAAATTATGTACCATGGGTGCCAAACAGTGCCAATGAGTGAACCATGGTGTGCCCTACTGTGTTTTTGGCACACGGTGCTGAGTGACCTAGCACTTGGTATTTTCATTATTTTCAAAACATTTAAATTATTTCTCATTACATTAATTATAGTTCAGGGGGCAAGTCACTCTGCCACCTTGTGCTAACACTCACAAAAACACACTTTGACGCACTTCAAACACCCTTCAGCCACATGGAAAACTAATTTTTTCATCAATTCTGGCACCACTGCCAATAATGTTTACGTTTGTTGATCAATTTAGTTTTTGTTTTTCTCTTGCAAGGAGAGAGAATCACGGCAGTCGGCTTGTTGGGTTGCACCGGACCTCGATGGAGAAAATCACTCGGGATACAGAAGTGACACGAGCACAGTATTCCGGGACCTGGAATATCCATGACTGGATACGATCGCGCCTACGAAAGCACATGGATGATAGCGAGGATTAAGGTTGTTAACGATAGCTAGGTACTGGTATGTCCTGGTTAGAGTCGGTGTATAATGAGTCACGCCAAGAGTGAAGCCAAGTCTACCTATTGAACTGTCAAACCGGCTACCTATCGTGCAAAGTAAACAAACATTACGATGCTATGAGAGGTCAACGAAAGGTATTGCAATAAAATATAAAATATAATCGAAGAAATGATCATAATCACGCAGTGAGCATTAACTTGTCATGGGATACGTTTGGTAATGATCAGTAATGAGAATTTCTACTATTTTTTAAAAGATAATTTGACAAAATCACAGATATAATGATTTACTACAGCCGCTATTTTTTCTCGCTAGAAGTCATTTGAAGTTGATGTAGAAGTCCTCTGTTGCCAAGTGAAAATTAAGGGAATCTTTCGAAAACCGTGATGCGAGTTCAACTGTTTTTCTCTTGGCGTGACTCATTATACACCGACTCTAGTCCTGGTATGTAGGCAGCTGGGAATGCAGCGTTTCGGGATTCGTTGAAATCCGATGGACCTGGGCACTTTCGTGCGTGTGAACGCGAGTTCTTTCCTTTAGCGCAAGGTAATCAACCTCAACTGTTGATGATTCTTGGGAATGAGTGGCCGTATTGCGACCACTGTCTGTTCTTTGTCCGTAGTGAAAATGAGAACGATTACGTTTGACTAAATAAATTACAATTTCAAAAAGTGGAAAAACTCGTGGAAAAGTCTGTCTAGATCAGTCAGAATGCTCCGATAAATTTATTTTGGTAGGTTGGGAGTGTCACAGTAACAGTAAGGTGGTTAGAATTCTAGATCACTACCGGGTTCAGTCCAGCTCGCCTCTGTGGTTGTGCTTCTTTTAAGTGTTAATGGTAGTGCCTGTAGTGTTCAGTTTATGCTATGTCACCTTTTAGAGCTGAATTTTGCACATCTTGGTTAATTGAACTAGCTGTTTTAGTTCGTCTTCCACATTTTCCTCGAATATCTTCGGTAGTGAATCAGATGTACGTTGTTGCATTAAGCAAACAACAGCGAAGGAGTCGCTGGTGGATTTGTCATTTTCAGCGTTTTGTTATTGTTTAGGATATGGTTGCCAGTAAGCATATTTTTTCGGTTGACACAAAGAAACACACAGAAACACCTTCCGACACCCAAAACACACACATAAACCACAATGAGCACAGACACAATGTGGCAGAGTGACTTACCCCCTGCTATAGTTAGTTATTTGTTGATTACTTTCAATACTGCTAAAAGTATTTAAATTCAAATTATTACTGTTTTACTATGATGTATTTTAAATATCACGCACTCATACCTAGAAGTGCACACCCCTTGGGTCGAATTTGCAAAGCGTCTGTTATGGTATGATCGGTTGTAGGTATTTGAGGGACTCGCCTTAAGGAGTCTTACCAGACACGTGCAAATCTCTGTTACTTGCTTGGCGCTTAAGTGAAGAGGTTAAAACAACTTAAACCAATCCTTTTGGTTGGTAATCCGTTACATTTTATTATTATTCGTGTGCGTTCACTCAGAGTGAGGTCCCAAACACCTCCAAAAGAACCATGCTAACGCCAAGATGACCATAAAATTTAAAATTTAAGATTTAAAATCGTTAAAAGCCTTGAAAAAGCCAAATTGGCCTAAATACGCTCAAATGACATTTATAACGTCAAAACTAGTGTTTCCTACGCGGAAGATCCCGGAAAATTTACTAATAAATACGTTTCCCGATTCCCCGGAATTATATGCGAGTTGCCGGAAAATTGCATTTGAGTTCCTAAATGGTTAAGAAACGTCAATATATTTAGGACTATAAAAAAAAAATAAAAAAATGCATTATACACTTCAAAGGCTCTTCATGAATAATTACAATAAAAGATTTATTTTGTTTTTTCTCATTGATTGAAAATTTGTTCTAGTTTTCAGCAAATTTTATAAAAATTTGGACTCATACATAAATTCAGCAATCGACTAAATTTTCAATAGCAACCAAAAATATCCATTAGTAACATCCCAATAACGCGTTCATCTAGATAAAATTGATAAATAGCAGATTTTTAGCGATGGGCCCAATCTTAGATCCATAGGCCAACATTTCCCCTATAGGTTCTTATTTCAGTTTATAATTTTTATCATCTCAGTATAAATTAAAATTTAGTTTCTTAATTAATTGATGAGCGTTTTAGTAGAATAATTGTATAACTTATTACGTTGTTTTTCCTTTTACTACAACGTAATAAGGTATAACATTACGATCAATATTTCATCAAATTTAAAAAAAAAACGTAAGTATGTACAAGTTGTCTCCATTTCTGCGATTCTTGTTAAGGACAGCCCACAACCCAAATGTGTAAATATGAGAAATGCACAAAGAGATGTGAACAACCGCCAACTCTTCCACCAGTGACTTTTTGTTACCACTTAGCACAGCATTTATTAATGAGCTACAGGCATTCAAGAAAACACATTCCTATGAATCAAGCGACGATCGATAGATGGGGTGCCTGCATCATCTCCAAAAACAGAATATTCGACACGGCACACACAACCTGTTGAATGTTATGAGAGCTGATGGCGGTGCTGAGACTCGATGATTCGATATACAAGCATAGCCCTTTTCCATCCGAACGGAACGTTGTCAATAAATGTTATAAGACAGGCAGGCGCAGGTATGTTGATTGGCTTTACGACTCTTACTCATCGGCTCTCCAACAACAGTTACCGTGGCAACTTCTTATTTATTTTTTGTGTCCCACATATAAAAAAAACAGACGCGAAACATCTTTTTCATTCTCTCGCTCGTATGCAAATGATGACTCACTGAACAATCGTCGTCGTTAGAACTTACAACAATGAACCAAGGCGCTAATTTCAAACTTTAAACTCCCCACTATTCTGCGGTTGCCACCGACACAATCCAACCTTGTCATTTTCCACAACAGTAAAATTGAAATTACATGGGGAATCTTCCTGCCATGGGAAAAGGAAAAAGTTCTGCCCCCCTTCCGACGAACCACACCTTAATCACATAGACACACACACACAGTCAGTTAAGTACTCACCTTTGATTGCGCGTGGCTCGAAACCACGGCCAGGGTCACCAGAAGAACAATCTTGACCAGCATCGTGTCGACGTTACGGTTCAATCACCTTTTCTTCGCGATCCCTTTCTTTTATAGGTTATATAATACAGCAAACAGACTCACTGCACTTTCGCTGACTGCCTCAGTCAATTCAACAACGAGAGGTATGTTGAAGAGAGAATGGAAAAATACAACGATCAAACAAGGTGCTGCAAACTGGCGGACTCCTAAAAAAGTCGTGCTTACCGCTGGAACCGTCGAAACTCAACTGAGCTGTTCATGTTTTCTCGATGCAGCAGCGCTTCAGCTCACCATTGCCGGCCGCTACAGACAACTACAGCCAGACACACAATTCAAACAGGTTGGTAATACCCCTATACATGCACGAAGCATGCCGCGAATAACCGCCAGGAACGGAGGAAGGTGAGAGTTTGATCAGTTTTTTCAAAGTGCGTTGCTTTGTTTACGACGAGGTTTACGATCGAGTATATACAGGCAGAGAAGCTGATGTCCAGTGAGCCCCGTAATCCCCTTCCAATCTCAGCCAAGCCGGCGAGCGACCGCGACCGCAAAGGCGCGCGGCCGGCGGTCCATCAATAAAAAAAAAACTGCTGCACACGTGTCCCGTACCGATCTCAGCTGCGATCGGTACCAAGTGGCCTACAAAAATGTCAACGGGAGTTAATCATCATCACTTCGTATAACAAGGTGAAATTTATCAACCACCCTACCCCTGCTGATAATGTGCTAATGAAAAGTGTTCTGCACATGGCAGCGGCAGGGACAACAAATGACTCGATCAAGCACAGTCAGGCAGTGTGGAATGGGCAATTTTTTTTTTAATTCGTGCAATTACACTGATTGTCATTATTTGCGTAGATTTCAAGCAAAATGCGTTTTTTAGAATAAGCATTTTTTTTTCTTCGCGCGGTACGTAATCCTCCGCGTAAAAATAGACTTCAGTATACAAAACAATGATGCTGGCTCTGGACGTTGTGCCGACGGGAGAAGTATGTACAAATGTACGTATGCTTACCACATCTATGACACAAACGTCATTCCCATATACTTTGCGTGAAGCCGAAAAATCCTGGTTCTCTGGTTCGATCGAACCAGAGAACCAGGATTTTTCGGCTTCACGCAAAGTATATGGGAATGACGTTTGTGTCATAGATGTGATGCTTACTGTTCAAGTGTGTTACTCATCAATTAGAGGGTTGATGTAGGTTACATCATCCGGTAGCGATCTGACGATCAGAAATAATGAAGTGTGAGCATTGATTTAAGATAGAATAAAATAACCATGCCGCTAAAAGATAAACTAGAGGCACAAGCAATTCATGAATCTCTACGGGAATTACTGTTAACGAGAGGCGCAATTTGTTTGTGGCAAAATTGTCGACATATCATCGACAATTATTTAGGCAATCATAGATAGAGTGTCAATAAACGTGTGAATTTGCATACTGAAATATTATCTTGCCAAATGAAGTCCCATCAATTCGAATCACACGACTGTTTTGTGGAAACGAAAATTCGCACATGCCAAGAGCTAAGCGGTTAGTCACTCAGCACAGTGTGCTAAAACTAGAGTTGGCACAGTTTGAGCACACCCTGGGCAAATTTTCGAAGGAATTGGATTGGGCACTACTGACAACAGTCAGTGAAGTTGTGTGCAGCATTTAGTGCTGGCTGCTTATTTCAGGAACGACATCTAAATTATAAATGGACTAAATCTAAGCAGGGTTGCTTCTTCCACTCACTTGATATGAAAATATATTTTGGAGAATTATGAAATCATTAGATGCCATAATTATAATTAGTACTTGCAAGTTACAAGAAGAAGCAGCAGCAGGAATAGGAGCCGAAAAAGCATTATCGCAGATTCGTGTAGCCGTGACCGAGGCTGGAAACCTCGGTCCGGTCACGACACTCGTCACCGTCAATCTGAACTCGGGGTGGGAGGCTAATATTGTCTTCCCTAGAACCTCTTCATCTCATGTATTTCGTCTTTGATGCGTTGATGGCAAGTCCAATCCACCTAGCTTCAGCCTTCAGTCTGATGTACGTTTCCGCCATCGTATCTAAGTTCAGTGCCATGATGAACCAGTTCCTGAAGATCGTGCCACTCGTGTCTATCCCAGCCAACCCGGGGGCAACTTGACAAGTCCAGTACATTTCCAGTGTACTCCGAAAATTTGGTGCTGGTGGTTCTGTCAAACTCACAAATTTCAGAAGTGTTATCTGAATAGGGCGAATGCAGATATGTAAATAAAGTAAATAAAATACTGAACATAAAAACAGATAGCCTCATCTGTTTCTTGAAACTTCAAGTTGGTGGGGAACAATGTTAATTAAACGGACGGGTGTAACAAAAGACAATCACTGAAATTTATTCGTTTTAGAAGCTCATTATGAATATCTTTTGTTGAGAGACGCTTATTTTAATTTATTTTATTTATTTCTTCATGTTTGAATGAATATACGAAATGTTAGTGTTCACACAGCAAACCTGCTACTCACCGCGAATAAGAATCAATTTTGTATTTTTTTTTCACCCCTCAATAGAAAGATGGGGAAGTAAACTGTTTTTAATGATACGGCTTTTTATTGCAAGTCTTCGCAGCACAAGTATGCTCAGAAACATTATTCTCAAGACTGATAATATTCAAGAGCAAAATATAATAGAATTAACCAATGTGTTTTTATTTCTGTTTGATTATATAAGAAAAACTTCCATCAATCTGTTCCAATTTGTTTGGATTTATTTCATTTCACCACGAAAATCATAAATCGCTCTTTTCACATGGCATTCTTGCTTGTTGCTTGACATCCACACATGGTGAAACAAAAAGTTGCCTTCCCATAGAGAAATACCATTGCGGCGGTGAAGGGCAGTCCCTTTGTTTACGTTGTGTGGCGACATCTACTATTTCAAGAGCAAATTTTCATTAGGTCGTAAGTAACATTTCAACTCACTTGAGAAAATCGGCTCCGATGATTTTAGAACTAATTTTTATTCCTATTTAAAAAGAAATCAATTTTATATTAACTAAATACTTCTAAACGATAATTTGTGCTATTTTTTTGCATCGCTGTGGTAAATATTCAAATTAAGTTTGATCATAATATGAGTTTTGTAAAAAATAAGATTATTCGACGTATTGGTTCACCAAACGCGCATACGACCTTTTCATAAGTCACTATGATAGGTTGCACGTTACTTTCGTCTAGGCGTTACGCTGTTTTATAAACTGACATGTTACTTACGTTGAGTGGGTTACGTTATTTTGTAAGCTGTCATGTTGCTTACGTCATGTTGGTTTCGTCGATTCGCTAAACACAAAAAAATTAAATGTTGCTTACGTCAAAAGAATTTTAGCATAAAAATTATGCTCATTTTTGTTTTATTTTGTGTTTCCTTCAAGCGACAACTGTTGTGTAACTGTTTTATGTGTTTTTGTGCAGTGAACCAGTAAATATCCATCAGGGACCTTTGTACACATCGTAAGATGCTGCTTGTGATGTTCCTTTTGTAGATTCAATTGAATCTACCCCTAGATCGTTCTGATTCATGCCACGGAGACTGAAAATGGTTCGGTTGATATAGATCTTTTGGTGAGATAGACCATCAGTGGTGTCAGCCGTTCAACTGTTCACAACATAAAACCAGGATCCTGTTGAAGATTCGATGTTATGCTGGGAATTTCGTACACAGCAAAAAAAATGTAATATCGACCAACGTAATTCAAGCTGTTGTATCAAATAATGATGTAATGAAATAACGAATAAAGCAGATACAATATTACATCAAATGGCTGTTTGGAAGTAACAACTTTTTTTTCTGTGTACGGTATGTTGCAGTTTTTTCTGGCTAAAAACCTAGACCTAATTAAAAACATCTATTTTCAGATAGTACCGATAATATGCTGCACCTAATTGGTGTCTTTGGATCGGGCTTCTATGTGCGTTGGAAAAGATGTTTTGGAAATTGAACCACTTCACTTCTGGGATATGTTGAGCAAGGCGTTTTTCATGGTGCTCCAGTTGGTAGTCAGCTTAGTATCTAGATGGCTATCCACACATTTCGGAAATTGCATGGACTCAAACTTGAATCGGATTGGACGTTCTCAATTTAGCGTTTTTCTTATTTTTTTATTAGTTTATAACTAGAAAAATATTTATTCCTCCAACGCGAACTTTGCCATGGAACAATTTGTTGAAACATTTCTTTTAGGACCTCAAGAAAGTTTAAGCATGTGCTAGCGAGACTGTTGGCATTCCTATTTATGTTTCGCAGAACCATGAACATCGTGTAGTTGATTGCGACGAAGAAAACTTCTTCGAAACCGGATTTGTCAAAACTGAAACCGGCACGAACCGAAAAATAGCAAAAACGCGATTAAGGAAAATATTGAGATCCACTCGGACGAGTAGTTTAAGAACGCGTTGCTGGGGTTGGATGAGGTTGTTCCGGAAATGCCTCCACCGGCAAAAAAGAATTTGAAAGAAGGAGACCAATGGACATTAGAAAAGGGAAAAGAAAAAGAAAGTGATATTGTGCCTTAACTGACTTGGCTTTTCGAGGTCCGTTAGCGCGTCATTGTGCGATTATAGCGCACTACTCTCGACACTATGTTCAACAGACCGAACGAGGCAGACCGAACGCTAGCAGGTTATTCCGGGTTTCAACTGTACTGATAATATATAAAGTGTTTCCTTAACATTCTTTGTGAAAATAACGAGAAATATAAAATGAATGACGTTGTATACATTTTTATCGCATTTCTTTTATTTACTAGATTTCAACAAGCAACTAGGTATGTACTGTTGTAGTAACTTAACGCTAACATCAGTTTTCGGCATCGCTTTCAAAGTCATATAAATCCGAATCAAAATGATCTTCAATGCCGATTTTCTGTTTTCTTCCTCGCTTAGGCTCCTGAAGGCCTGTCAAAAAAGCAGAATAGTAGCGTTTTTGTTTGATGTACGGCATTAAATTTCTTAGATCTGCCAGTTTTGCTGCCGGAAGCGGTATTGGCTGTGTTTCGATTGGACTTAGTACAAAATCTTCAGCATTACGGTGATTCTCCTGCGTTGTCAGCTCCATTGAATGATATTGCTCCTCAGATAAGTCATACTTGAATAGAACGACTCTAGGATGGTCAGTGGAGTACTTAAATACCATTATCTGTTTGAATTTTACACTGTCTCCAGCTACAGTTCGCCGAGGAATTCTATAACGGCTAGATAAATCTTTTAT